TGTTTTCCTCTAGGAGGTTTATTGTATCTTGTATCCAGAAGGAACCCTACTTCAGGATGACACCGGCACCCCAATGTTCATAGCAGCACTATTTACAATAGCCAAAACATGGAAACAGCCTAAATGTCCATCAACAGGTGACTGGATAAAGAAGAGGTGGTATATTTATATAATGGAATACTACTCAGCCATAAAAACCGACAACATAACGCCATTTGCAGCAACATGGATGCTCCTGGAGAATGTCATTCTAAGCGAAGTAAGCCAGAAAGAGAAAGAAAAATACCATATGAGATCGCTCATATGTGGAATCTAAAAAACAAACAAACAAACAAAAACAAGGCGTAAATACAGGACAGAAATAGACTCATGGACAGAGAATACAGACTTGCGGTTGCCGGGGGGCGGAGGGTGGGAAGGGATAGACTGGGATTTCAAAATTGTAGAATAGATAAACAAGATTATACTGTATAGCACAGGGAAATATACACAAAATGTTATGGTAGCTCACAGAGAAAAAAATGTGACAATGAGTGTGTATATGTCCATGTATGACTGAAAAATTGTGCTGAACACTGGAATTTGACACAACATTGTAAAATGATTATAAATCAATAAAAAATGTTAAAAAAACCCAATCAAAAAATGGGCAGAAGACTTATATAGACATTTCTCCAAAGAAGACATACAGACGGCAAACAGGCACATGAAAAGATGCTCAATGTTGCTAATTATTAGAGAAATGCCAATCAAAAATAAGAGGCATCATCTCATGTTGGTCAGAATGGCCATCATCTAAAAGTCTACAAATAATAAATGCTAGAGAGGATGTGAAGAAAAGGGAACCCTCCTACACTGCTGGAAAGAATGTAAGTTGGTGCAGCCACTATAGAAAACAGTAAGGAGAGTCCTTAAAAAATTAAATATAGAGTTACAACATGATCCAGCAATCCCTGTCCTGGGCATATATCTAGAAAATACAAAAACTAATTAGAAAAGATACATGCACCTCAATGTTCATAACAGCACTATTACAATAGCTAAGACATGGAAACAACTTAAATGTCCACAGATGGATGAATGGATAAAGATGTGGTATATATACATAATGGAATATTACTCAGTCACTAAAAATGAAATAATGCCATTTGCAGTAACATGGATGGACCTAGAGATGATCACACTCAGTGAAGTAACTTAGAGAAAGACAAGTATCACTTATATATAGAATCTACAGACTCATAGACATGCAAACAAACTTATGGTTACCAAAGGGGTGAGGTAGGAGGGATAAATTATAATTTGGGGTTAAAAGATACAAACTACTATACAGAAAATAGATAAACAATAAGGACCTTCATATAGCACAGGGAACTATATTCAATATCTTGTAATAACCTATAATGGAAAAGAATCTGGGGGTGGTGGGTCTAACTCAGTGGTAGAGTATATGCTTAGCATTAAAACTTCCTTAAAAAAAAGAATCTGGAAAAGAATGTATATGTTGTGTGTGTATATATATAAAACTAAGTCACTTTCCTGTATATCTGAAACATTATAAATCAACTATACTTCAATAAAAATGTTTTAAAAATTAAAAAAAAAGGAGACCATGGCAAGTTTGAGGAAAGAAATAATGGAATGCTGCACAGCACAAGAGACTGGAGAGATGGATGTAACATAGCATTATCTTTCAAACCATGCATCTCAAATGATTGTTGAGTCCTAAATTCAATTTAGTGGGCTGGGACTAGGATTTTTTTAATTATTATTATTAAATACCATAAAATAGAATAGAAAATATCAGAGTACATAACATGAAGTAAGTAAAGATAGTGTGTGTGTGTGTGTGTGTGTATTGGGTTGCCAGGTAAAATGTACCTTGAGCTGTGGTCACAAAGTTTGAAAACCTATGCAATCTGGCTTCTTTACCTAATTAGGATAAAAATGTAGAGAAAAAGAAAAGGGAACACAACATAATAATGGCAGTCAGAACCAACCAACATCCTCAATTTCTTTCCAAAGGTCAAAAGAGGCCGTGTGGTGTACGGGGAGAATGCTGGGGCCACCCTTACACTGTGTGGCTTCCCTCGCCAAGCCTGTTTTCTCATCCATGTAATGAGTGTTGTGAGCAGGATGGTGCCTAAGTCTTCTGATCTTGGACCCCATGACTTGGAGAAGGATAAAGAGCATGAGAATGATACAGGATACAAATGGCCAGCTGGCATTCCAGTTTATCTAAGATGAGGCCAGAGTCATTGGCCCAGATCCTCTGTGAACTAGCCAGCAGGCACCATTAGCCATGTGCCAGCCATTCTGCCATGGTCAGAAATGAGCCTGCAGCACCAGGAAACTGTCTGACTGACCACTGTGACTACAGTTCTGTGACTACAGAACTATGAGGAGAATCATAATATGACCAGAGAGGCTTCATACACTGGCCCAGAACACAACTAAAAGCACAAGAAGTCTCAATTATAGGAGATCAACAGAATCTCCTCCACAGGGAAAGGTGAGGGGCACCACTGCAAGCACCTCTGCAAAAGGCCCTCTCAAGGCCAAGGCAGAAGGGGCCAGAGTCCCAGAGGGGAGAGAGTCCATGAACCACACCCCCTCCTATCTGCCTGCAAACATTTATAACACAACATGCAGGTGAAAACACAGGAACTGTGTAAACTGCCTTAAATTCTTCTTTGAGGTCATAACAGGGAGAAAAGTAGAAAAAGCAAGAGAAAGACTCTGGACAAACTGAATGTCAGAATAAAGGCAGAAACATAATAGGAAGTGGTTAAGGAAAAGCTTCCTGGCAAAAAGAATTTTACAGAACCCATGTTCACAGCAGCATTACTCACAATAAAGCAATCCAAGTGTGATGGTTAATTTTATGTATCAACTTGACTGGGCTACTGAGTGCCCAGAATTTGGTCAAATATTATTGTCTGTGATACTGTTTATAGATGAGATTAACATGTGAATTGGTAAAGTGAGTAAAGCAGGTTGTCCTCCCTAGTGTGGGTGGGCCTCATCCAATCAGTTGAAGGCTTGAATAGAACAAAAGCACCGATCTTCCTGCAAGTAAAAGGGAACTCCTCCTGAAGTACTCTTTTGGGAAAGCTCCCTGGTATTCTCCCTACTTGCTGCAAGTAATAAATCCTTAAAATTTTTTT